TGAGTTTACATATTTTGTTGGTGAAGAAGAATTAAATATATTAAATAATCTGGTAGAAATAGGAGAATTTAATCAACAGCTGTGTTTTACAATGCAAACTTTAAATAAGACAGGAGTTTGGAGAATAGTGATGGATGTGATCTGGAACACTAGGAAAGCTCTACAGAGGATGCATGAGGTAATGAAGAGGAGGGGCAGGATTTGGCTGGGGGGAGAGAAGAAAGGCACTTGGAGACAGTTTGGGAGGGTGGAGAAAAGGGTACAGAGATGACTTGGGTATATACAGAAAGCAATGAAGAGACCAGCTTACAGGGACCAGCAAATTCATGTCTAACAGAATAAGAGACCAGACTAAACAAGTTCTGTGTGGCCAGGTTACAAAAGGCCTTAAGGGAATAAATGAAGAGTTTGGACCCAATCCAAAAGGACAATAAAAATTTACTTGGTGGTAGTGAGTAGTGTGGATGTCAGAGAGGGACTCTGATAACAGAGATACTGGTTTTCTGGAATACTAGGGCAAGCATGAGATAGGAGCCTAGCCTAAAGGCAGCAGAGGAGAAAAGCAAGAAAAGAACCAACAGAAGGGACACAGTGAAGGTAAAATCTGCAGGATTTAGGAGGTAAGTAGTCTAAAACTAAAGGATGGTCCATATACCTAGTTATTAAGACAAAAGTTTAATACCCTGATAAAGTATCATTCTCTGGAATAACTGAACAGTAGGGGAAGTGAGATATTCCAACTGCCAGCTGCAGCAGACACCAGATGCTGACCCAGGACCAATGCTGACCCAGGACTACAGGGAGCAGCTGCTGAGCTTTCTGGTGGTTTCACTACTATTTCTAGTCATCTGACACATGTGTACACAATGGCACCACCTGTTTCAGGGAAAATGTAATTAAATTCTAGGGAAAATGTGTCTTCTCAGGAGAGGTCAATGACTTCTTTAAAGATACTTTCTCCTTAAATCATTACAGTAATGCTGTAAGCTCCTGGTAAATTTTCTTTATAAATACAGGATTGTCTATGCATAAGAGAAAAGATAAGCTGCACTTAAACATTCATTAATGAATAGCTGGCACATTACCCTTGCAAAGCATCCTTACCAAGACCAGGTACATCTCCTTCTTGGTACAAAAATTTCAATGTCTTACAACCATCTTTCATAAAAAAAACATTAAATGCTTCCAGCTGTTAAATAAAAGAGAAAATGATCATCAATAAAATGACTAGGAAATAATAAAATGAACCAAGCCCTGTGCTAGGCATTTTACATACCTTAGTCCTCATCATTTTGTAAATAAAATGAGGCTCAAAGAAGCAGGATTAGAATCAGAGGCAGGATTAGAATTCAAATTAATTTAACTCCAAAATTACCTGGAATGTAGGGTGAGTTCTATTTCCAAACCTACATTAATGATCTACATATATAAGTGTGAAGCCACTTGCCTGACCCTGCCTCACAGAATCTTTCAGGGGTAAACGGATGAGTCAACTGGAGGTAAATATAAAGAATTATTATTAAGAGAAATTATTTTTAAAAGCTGACTCGTGGAACAGCAAAACTTGCGTTATTAGCTAAATGTCTTGTTTGACTAAATACTTGAGTAATTATGTTTTCAGCCAATGTAATTTGACCCATACTATAGCCAAACTAATATAAAAACAAATTATTATAATGAGTCTTCCGTATTTATGAGCATGAATTTAATTACTTACAAGTCAGCATAATCATCTTAGTAAGTAGAAAACTAGGCCACATAAACAAAAACCCTCACATATCACTTGGGAAACACTAAGTTACTAAACCACCTTCACCTAGTCCTGCTGATTTCATACACAAGTGTCTCTCTTGGGCATGGGGTTCCCCTTAACTTACTGACCACTTACTGCAGGAAGCATCTCAGGTCTGGCAAAGCCTCTCCCCCAAGGACAATGGTCCTCAAACTTCAGTATGCATCAGTGAGGAATCTAGGGAACCTCTTAAAAATACAGAACACTGGGCCTGGGAATTTGCATTTCTAAAAAGTTCCAGGTGATGCTGCTGCTGCTGGTCCTGGGACCACGTTTGGATACCACCAACCTGGGAGATGAAATGGAGCTACAGACATTTGCAAAATTCTAGTCCTTAATTTTCTACTCTTCCATCTCACACATAAACTTGACTTTCTTGCAGAGCTACAATCTGAAAGATATAAAAGCTGCCGGCATAGCTATTCTTGCCCAGCTCCATACTTTCATGCTCTATCTGACTTTTATGACCCATCAGCTTTGAATGCATCCAAATTCTCAAAAGTAGACCATATGATTGTGATAAAAAGACATCTCAACATCAAATATAACTAATTCTGGTTTTTTAGGCACATTGTACTCCTGAGACCAGCAGAGTGAAGTTGTCATGGGCCAAAATCCTGACTGCAGAGTGAAAATTCACTTACAATACTTAACATTTTACAAATAGTTCATCTGAGTTTCACCACAATCTTGCATTCAGCTTAAGTGGAATTATTATGACCCTTTTTAAGAAAAGAAAACTAAAGCTAAAAAGAATCTGTGAGAAGGACCCAAAGACACATAACCACAAGTGAAGAACCTGTAATTGGACACCAGCCTTCGGCCTCCAGGTCTGTGCTCTTTCCACAAAACTGTGCTGCGCCCATCTTGACTTTGGAAAAGACTGTCATGTAAGCCAGGAGAGCAATCCCAGTGGCTACTGTGAGCAGCACTGAATGAAGGGAGCAGTAAAATGGGGAGCAGCAGAAGCCTGAATGCCAATGCAGCAGAAACGTCTGTATTGGTCAGGGTTCTGGGAAGCAAAAGAGTCACAACAAAGGAGTTTTGAAGGAACTTTATAATAATGAAGCGATTCCAGAGGCCAGAGCGGGTTTAAGGGAAGCTCTGGCACTAGAAGCAACTAAAGGACTAGCAACAGAGGAAAACCAGTACCACCCCAAGGCCTAGAAGCGTGAGCATGGGGGAGCAGTGGGGTAGCTGGAAGCAGGCTGAGAGCTGGAGCTGGGGGATAGGGACTGCTCAGGAGGAGCAGCAGTTAAGGGAAGACGCGGTCACGGCCAGAAATGTGACAAAAGTCAGTTTGCCATATATGACTATAGTTAGGTTGACCATATAAGTTCATCATCCAACACTGGGGCCCTTTTAGGAGTGAAAGGAGGAACTGTTAATAATTAAGCCAGAAAAGTAGGCATAATCCAGGACTGTCCCTGGCACACAGAGACATATGGTAATCACCTCGCTGTTTTTGACTAGATTCATGCAGTAGTCACTGTTCCCTAGTTCTATTTATGCAGTTTGTTTTTCCATCCAAATGATCTACACGTGTACTTTACATAACCTGTAC